AACACCTAATTGAGTTTTGACTTACTTTGTTTTGAATCAACTCATCAAATTCTCTTTTTAGGCTTTGATACATATCTGCCTCGTCAGGCTTCATGAAAAATTCCAAATATCCTCCCAACATTTTCAAATGTCCACCCTGTCAGAACACATTCAAATTAAAGATTAAGTTACCATTTGAAATAATATAGTGAACATAATTCTACAAAACCATTTTTTTCTTTCAAAGAAAGAGGAGAAAGGAACAGAAAACATATGTTGACAAATAATAGAAACAGTAGACAGGAGAGAACTTACAGCATCTCCTCTTGAGATGCAACCACCGAACAGGAGAAGTGCTGAATCAGACACAGCTGTGGAATCCCGTAAGAAAATAGAGTTCACTTTTATCTTCTCATTGAAAACAAGCCAAGGATATGGTACTCTTGATTCCCGAGCATTAACTGAGTTCTAGGAAAGGAAAATGAACAAATATTAAAAGAGATTAGAAAACATTGCTGACACATCCATGGACACAAATAAAAATGGAAAATAAGTAGCAGTAGAAAAATAACACATTAATTTAGCACTTACTGAGTATAGAAGCACCTGTCCGTCCTCCATAGTTTTTAGTGAAAATGACTTCTCATTATGCTGTATACACATTTCTATTAATACTCATGAAAAAGTACAAAAAAATATAATAAATTATAAATTTATTAAGGAAAAACTGTCTAGACTGCACAACTGGGGACCCAATTTATAATTCACTAATTGGAGGAAACTTGTTTTTACATGGACTCTTCACAGATTGACAAGCATGTTTCAGACACTTCTCGGACAACTTGAATCCTTATGGGAGAACTCTTAAGTGCATTGAAATTAACAAAAAAATCTTTCACCAAAAAAGGTTTAAGTACTATGTTGGACATAAATCATGTCAGATACTTTGATCTTGAGTTCACATAACATATGAGAAATCAGCTAAATAGATTTCCATTGCAAAAATCACTCGGCAATTAAGCTCAGTGTGTTGAAACCATTGTAGTTAAATTGTAAAGCAGATCCACAATAGCAATGTAGGTAGGTTTAATTATTGTAGTTAAATTGCTGGATGAGAGAAACGGTGTGCCAACAATTATAGTGAGCCTTCCCAGTTTGCATGTATTTAAGGTAGAATTGAAAGTCTGGTCCATTGGACAAAAATCATAACACTTAAGACATAAAAGCTAAAAACTCACCACAACAGAGCAAACTCCTGGATACAGCCCATAGCAAATAATCGCTCTAATGAGATGCACATCATAGCTCCATGCACTGCAATTTGTGCTCCCATCAATGATACCTGTATCTTTGAGCAGGGAAAGAAATTCTTTTCGAAGAGAGTCGATAGCTTTCATTGATTGTGCTGAAAGAAAATTTTTCCAGCAGTAGTCGTATCCACCAAGGTCTATCTCAGCATCTTGCCAGCCCTCATAAGCTCGAACAAGAGCAAGATGGTCACTATAATGACCAGAAAATTGAGATTTTGCAGCCTCTGCAAGCTGCAAAGCAAGTAAACGATTACTAAAAGCATTCTGATTAAGAAAAATCTCTAGGAGAGAAGTTCTTTTGTATGTAGCCAGTGTACTACACTCTATACCTCTTTTCATTATTTTATTTATCAAAAAACATTTACAATAATACACATCAAGTTAGAACCCATAAGACAAAAGACTATTCCACCAAGATAATGGCACCACTAATCTAAAATAGTAAACACATTCCACAAGCAGAAATGTCCTTTTTGCACTGATTATGGGTAAACTTGTTAAACCTAATCTAAAACAGTACCAAATGAAGTGGTGAGCAAGACTCCTCAGGTAATAAGTGAAACAACAATGAAATCTAAGAAAACCAATCCAGTAAAAAGTAAACAGACATCTAGCCAAAAGTGAGAAATGGTTGATCCAAAAATTACTAGTTGATAAATTATGCACTACCTTTGGTGCAAATAAAAGAATTAACAAAAGCAACCATAATTTGCTAGAACAACAGAGTGTATTGGAGTAGTTGACTTACATCTTTCTTATCCAATGGATTTAAGAAAGGATCTCTAACACTAAGACCAGCAACAATAGTAAGTATTGGATCCAGGCAATTAAGTATAGCACCTAGTATTAGCATCTTTCCAAGTTTTGGCTCCACTGGAAGCATAGTCAAATAATGCCCTGCCATATGATAAAAACAAATAAACACAAAAACCTCAAACTCAATTTCCCAAAATTTACAAACATCCATATTGAAAAACAATGGGTTCCACTGACCTAGAACAGTCAGATTCTCATTCTCATCTAGTGCCCCAATGATTTTTAAATATTCAATGGCATTTTGCACCTACAATCACAAACTAAACAAATTAAAAAGTGAATAAATAAATCTGCTACTACAAAAAATTAAAAGCAGTAAACAAGTCTGCCAGAGAGTAAAGCTGAAGAAAAATTATCAACTGACTATTACCGCTAGTAACTCTGGTGACTGCAGTGCCCTTGATAGAAACTCAGAGATACTCCCAAGTTTTAAACTTTTGATTTGCAAACAAAGGGACTGCAATGGTGTTCTCAAAATCTCAGGCAACTGATATTCAGGAAAAGCATCATAGACACATTTAGGATAAAGATGGTAACACTCTCCAGGTTGAACTCGGCCAGCTCTTCCTCTTCTCTACATACATGTAAAAGATGGGCAAAAAAACAATACATCATCAGTGTAATTGTTGCACAAATCAACAGTTAGGATAAAAATACAGATCAATAATTTATTATATTGATGTCCCCAAAGGAAACACTTCCTGCATGCAAGTTGAAGAACTTCTTATCAATTTAAGCATAAGCATGTAAACACACCATATGCTGAAATGCTCCTTTACAACAGCATCAACCTATGATCTTCTATTAACAGTGAGACAGAAGAAAACAGGCCTTAAGGAATTGTAAGCATATAGTGGGAGGCAGGTTGAAGAACAAATTATCAATTTAAGCATAAGCATACAAACAAATTATATACTGCCAAAACATCATACATCTCCATCCACATATTCCACACCATATATAATGTCGTGCAGCATCTCAAGCCAACTTTCTTCTATCCAAACCACTACTAGTTTAAAATAAAGTCCACCATAGTTTAGGACTCTACTTTCGTTTTGAATGGAAAAAGAAAGCATCATCACTAATGGCACCTATGCCGTTTCTCAATCGCCTAATACAAGGACATTTAACAGAAAGGAAAAATTTATGAGAAAATGTAAAATATATAACCACTGCAATCAATGGCCCTAAGAGCCTATGGTCCCAAACTACTATTCTTCAGATACAGTAAAACCAAATTACTGCCAGTCCTTACTTGCTGAGCTGAACCCTTGGAAATCCACGATGGGAGCAAACAAGGAGTGTTATTCAGTGCATCGTATGATGTCTCTTTTGCCTTTCCACAGTCAAGAACAAAAACAACATCATTAACTGTAATGCTTGTCTCGGCAATATTAGTTGCTAGCACTATTTTTCTCACTCCATCTTTTGGCTCTTCAAATATTAACCTCTGGAAAAAAAAAATATATATCCCAAAACAAATATAAGTAGACTTAAAAAATATTATAATAATAATAATAATAATAATAATAATAATAATAACAATAATAATAATAATAAAGAGAGGAAGAGAACCTTGGAATGTGCTTTAAAAATATATTAGAAAGAAAAGAACCTGCTCAGAACTAGCCATAGAACCATGGCAGGCAAGCAACAGAGCTCGGTCTGGATCTCCAAGGACAGGGTGAGCTTGAAGCTTATCCTTTAAAGAACTTATGTCATCCCACCCAGTCATAAAAACTAGAACAGCGCCAGGCCTTTCATTCTCACATATATAGGATAAAAGATACTCTATGAGATTAAAACCAATACAGTCAGGATTCCAAAACAGCAAAGACTCCCGAGTCTGCAGGCTAAAATTCTTGAAATCAGCTGCCTTGAGTGCATCCTATAACATATTTCCAAAATAATATATAACTAAGAGAACTCGCAGCAAGGAAATAAGACCACAAAATAGTTTGAATACCTCAACTGTGGAAGCAATTTGACTCTTCCTCTTTCTTGGTGCTTGCTTACTCATTTTCCACATCCTTTCCTGACCATAATCATCGATTTGATTGAATGGGGTCAATCTATATCCCGTCATCTCCAGGATATTCTCCAAAAAATGTGTTTGAATGGTGTATGTAAAACCCTAAATTACAAAAAGAAAGAAACAGGGAATTGATCTACCCCATTAACCAAAATCTAGCATTCCATTTAAGTCCAACTAGAAACAAGTCAAAACTAAAATAAACTAAGACAGCAGATGTACATGCTGAATGCATGAGAACTACAAATGAGCACATTAAAAAGCTTGACAGAGAATTAACAATACCAAAAATCATCAGTAAAAGAGAAAACTAAATAGGAAAACAAAATCATCAGGATGCCTAACGAAGAGAGACTAGACACACAGAAAGCAGAAAACAGACAAAAAAAAAGGATGGTCAGCAGAGAAGATTTTACCTCCTCTTCCCCCTACTTCATAGCTAGCTCGTGATTTCTCAAGTTTTCTGCTTACATTCAGTGTAATTGCAAGACACTCTTACTTTAGAGAGTGCATTAGGGCCTCATATTGTTCTTAATATCCCTTAAATATTTAAAATGAGTTGAAAAAAAAGACAGCCCTCCAAGAAAGACACGTACACTCTAGAGCTGATCGTAGTCTGCTCTATCTACCACCTTCCCCATGAAGACACATGAACCTAAAATACAGTAGTAATTAAAGCCCCACCAGGTAGTGCACTGCAGTCAATTAAAAGAGGTTTTGAGCAACAAAGTGTTTTTCCTAGTGTTTTGGGAACATTTTAAATGATCAAGATCAAGAGGTGGAGTTAAGAGGTCAGAAACACCAATAACAGCCATTGCTAAGTGCTTTGACAACAGCAGGCTTAAAAGAATTTATTGAGGTTACTTTTTATGCGGACAACTATATCCCTCTAAATGTTAATAGTACAATTTTTTTCTACTTACTGGAATGTGAATTATGGGAGCCCCACCAAAGTACGATGAGAAAAGCTCAGCATCTAAAGTTGCGCTCATAAGAATCAGCCTCAACTCAGGACGGCGAGGAAGAAGATCTTTGAGGACAATGAGCAGGAAATCTGGTGCAAAAACAATTATTACATTGAGAAATCAAATTTCATAAACTCCAAAATTTCAAAACAAACTAAACGCCTATTTTACCTTCATTCATTCCACGTTCATGAATCTCATCCACGATAACATGGGTTACACCTTTTAAATTTTTATCAACAAGCAATCTTCTCAACAATATGCCAGTGGTGCAAAAAAGAAGGTGTGTTTCCCTCCCCTTTGTACCCTCAAGCCGTACTTTATACCCAACCTTCAAAGCAAGCCATGAATAGAGAAACTTAATTCAGTTTCATAGACAAATTTTCAATAGAAACAAACAACTAATGCTTTGGCAAGTATCTTGTACAACAGTATTAGCAGCAAAAACTCACAGATTCACCCAATTTCTCCCCTCTCTCAGAAGCAACTCTTTCTGAAACAGAAATGGCAGATAGTCTCCTGGGCTGTGTACATATAATGTTACAAGTGGCCCCACGAATAGAATCTATCTCTGATTCTAGAATAAATTGGGGAATTTGAGTGGTCTTGCCACACCCAGTTTCCCCTGAGACAAGAATAACCTGAGAAATATAACATTTCATGCATCATAAAACTGTTAAGAAAAACATAAATCAGTGTTCAAATCTGCAACTACACTAACTCTGTACTTAAAACAAATAAGTAGAACATATTAAAACAATCTATTCATGCCAGAAAAAGACAAAATCCAGCTTTTAGATTTACTCCTTTTCTCTCCATTAGTACACTGAGGTTGCAATCACTTATGTAAGCAAAGTTAACAAGCAGCATTTAACAAAAGTCAATCAAGATCCTGTCTCACACAGTTAGAGGAAAAAGAATATGACAGAAAAATGGAATCCAGCCAAGGAATATGAATAAAACTGCTATTTGCAAGGAAAAGTACATTATATTTTAGGCATACAAAATTATAGAACAAAACTGCAGTTTATCAATAGTTCAATACAATAGTACTTTACCTTCATCTTCACATAGAGGAGGTAAATAGTAGCCACCATCCAGGGGTACATTAAATAACCGAAACAACACAACACTAAATACTCACTCACCTGGTTTTGCAAGATGACTGCCAATATGGCATCCTTCTCTTTGTAAGCAGGGAGATTTTGACGAAATTCAAGCATTCTTCTGCCTTCAGAAGACTCCTATTTGGAGGAAAGGGAAAAAAGGAAAAAAAAAAAGTTTAAAAATGTGTTATATCAAGGCTTATAAGAAGATAAACAATCAAACAGTTTACAATCAGAAGGAATTGCCTCAGAGTAACCAAGGCATCCTGACTGCTAAAATGACAAGATTTAAGACAAAAACACCACATCCATGACTGTTCTGATCAAAGTCACAAGTCAAATGAAAGGAAGTACCACAAAATAAAACAGCAAAGAGAAGAAAAGGAGGAAGAAAGAATAAGATAGGTCACATCATAGATACATAAATCAAGACCAACCAGGGGAAATGTTGAAGAAAAATAGCAATGAAACACAACCTATTATATACAAGGTAGCTGCCTAAGACAATGCCATATCTGAGTTCTGAAACAACAACCAAACAATAAAAACTGTCCAAAAAGATAAACAGTCAAGGCAATGAACCTGCCAGGCTTCTTGCTGGTCACGCAGGTGCAAACTTCTTCGCCAAAGAATTTTCTGCATGACAGGCTTGCTGGATGCCAGCAGCTCTGGCTGCTCAAAAAGTCCTTCAGTTGCCACACTACCACTACTACTTGATCTTGAAAAACAAATATCTGAAAGGCTTTCCTTAGTCCTAGACTTCCAAGAAAGATATTCCCCAAGATAGTTATTAACTCTCTTTAGCAAACCACTGTTTAGGTCAACCTGACAGTTTTTAAAAACCCAAGTATGATGTATACAAGAAAACAAAATGGTTATAAGTCAATAAGAGGCAATCTAAAGAACACATAAAATGAAAAAAATCAGAAGAATACCTCTCTTTGAGGACGCTTATCATCCAGATCAAATCTGTAGTTAGGAAGGGCGACCTTACTAAAAACAGCAACTTTAGAATAAAGATGGCTGCCAGAAATATTTCGCATTAGAATCACCAAGATGACTGAGCATTTTTTCATATAGAACCATCCATTCTAAGTAAGAGAGATACCTATACAAACCCATTCTGCTCGCAAGAGCTGCAATTTGCTCAAAATCTCGTCTATCCTTCTTCTCCCTTGAGACCAATTCTTGTTTTCCTTCATCACGTAAAAGCATGGCCAGCTTTTGCTTCCATTCATCAACGCTGGCAAAACAGAAAGTGTCCTGAAAACAAATCTTACAGAAATGACAACAAGCTTCAACCATAAAATGGGAGTAAGCAACTACTCTTATTGAAAAAGGATTTATGTAGTCTGTAACCAACCTCAACTAGTTCAGGAGTAATTCTTGAGTTGAGTTTCTCATTTTTCCTCTTTATTTTTACCCAATTTCCAGAAGAAGAAAAAAATCTCAATTTCTCAACAACTTATTATCTTCCAACATCCAGCATTGTTCATTGCCAAAAAATTAAGCTATAGCTCCAGAATTGGAATTAAGTGAAACTAAACATCCCTAATTAAAGTTGTCTAAAGAATACAATAGAGGAAAATTCCACTAAAAATTTCACATTGAAAATGAAAATTCAATACTAACAAGGCAATGAATTAAAACACACAAAAATTCGAAAACGAGTTGGTGCAAAATTTTGCTCTTAATTAAGCAAAGAAGAAGTAGAAATACCACGCCTAATTATTAAAGAACTACCTAACATTTCAATAAAAAATAATAACAACAACAACAACATATCTATCTGCAGATATCACTTTTCTTCGAACCACATTATTAGTTCACAGTAGTGAAAATGAAGGATGGAACAACTGACCTGTTGCACCACTGAATCAGGCTCGTGATCCGAACCGTCCTCAGAAATGACGTCATCATAAGCAGAATTATACTTCAAATCGCTATTGTTGTTATTATTTTTATGATTACTGTTGTTGTTGTTGTTGTTGTTGTTAGAACTCCTCTGCAGTGGCGGTTGCTGCACTGATTGCTGCTTTTGCTGTTGATGCGAGTGAGGCACCGAAGGCGGACTGCCGTTCCAGGAGTTTAAAGAAACGGCAACCTGGTGACCGCGCAGCTTGGATTCAATCGACGAAGCGGCTGAGGAGTGATTACTGCTATTGTTGGGAACAGTGTTGACAGAACGGAGACGGTGGTGAGGAGGGACGTAGACGGCGCCGTAAGAGGACGGAGGCCGATCCTTCATAGCTGGAAAGAGCGAGGGTTTTGGGATTCCGGTTCGTGAATGGGAAGGGCGAGGGAATTGAGGAGATGGAGGGGGAAGGAGGGAAGAGCGCATGCAGGATGAGACGACGGTTGTGATGTCGTTTGGGATAATTAAAAGTAGAAATGGAGGATTACTGAAAAGATGAGATCAGTGTACTGTTACTCTCTGCGGAGAGCGTAAATTTTACAAAAATAAACTTCCTTGTAATTTGCAAAAGGAAAATTTTCTTTCAGGGCGGACTGCATGTAAAAATATCATTTTGGTATGAAAAGACAAAAATATCATCTAGAAATCTTAATGCATGGTGAATTGTTAAGGGTACTTTTGTCCTTTCAAGGGCCACACGGATGTTTTAAGTGTAACAGAATAAAAACAAAAAACTTTTCTGATTTGTATATGCTTTTCCAGTCCGGATAAAAAATAATCAATCTGCACTGAAAATTGTCTGAAAATTATCAGTACAGAAATGGCTGAAAATTCCAACCGACTGAATTCCCAAAAACATTTGCCATTTTCCGGTTCTACTTGGCACTCACTTAATCTCTTGGAGTTGGAGCAATAAAAATACATAGAAATTAAATAAGTAGCTTTTGAAGATTGAAATACATATATTTGACTCCAAGCTGGTTTTAGTTTACCAGTCTAATGATTAATCCTAATCTTACAAGAATTATTATTCAAACCCTGTATCTTAGGGAGGAGGAAAAATAAACAAGTAAATAAAGCTGATGAATAATTATAAATGTCTCCTTGGCAGTCAGCAACCACACCACAGCTAACAAGGAAGAGTCAAAAACAGAAAAACAAACCTCTCTGAACGTCAAGAGGTATGAGCTGAAGTACTTGCAAATTAGTAGGTATAGCCTTTAACAAACATTCCTTTCCTAGCTTCTTCACTTTCACCCTCAGCTGAGTACTTTCCGAGTTGAGCCAGTGAGTTTGCCTTTGCACGAACCAAAAGAGCCTTCTGTGCAGCTTCAACATTCTCAGGACGTCCTTGCCATTTTTTAAGCACGGTGTTCTGCAATGCACGTGCATATGAGAAAGAAACATGCCATGGGTTGGGGCTCTGGTTCATTGCATTTAAGTTGAGTGTTGCTTCAACCTCAGACTGTCCTCCAGACAAAAACTGAGATGTAAAATAAACAGATAAGCTTGTTAGAGATCACAACTTGCTATTTACATACGTAAAATTCAATATAGTGATCAGATTGAATGGAAAGAAGGAAAAACGTGTTTAAGATCCAGATATCAAGAATAAATTTTTGCACCGAACTAAGATTGAAGGGTTGACTTCTCATGTTATTTAAACATCGGAAAATTATAAGCAAACATAAATCTGCCATTGCACAATAATCTATCTCGAAAGATTGTTTAGGTGTAGCTAATTAGTCAGGAATAGAAAAGAAAATGATTGTTCATGCCTACATACCATGATTCCTGGAACTGCCGGTGGAACCCTCCTCTTGAGCATCGTAAGTGTATACTTAGCAATGGTCTCTGGGGAAGCCTTCTCTTTATGTTCAGCACCAGGAGTTACCATGCTGGGCTTAAGTAGGATTCCCTCAAATACGACATTGTTCTCCGCCAAGTAGTAAAAGACTTCTGACCAGACCTTCTCTGCCACTTCAAGTGTCCTCTCAATAGGGTGGTCCCCATCAAGAAGAATCTCAGGTTCCACTATTGGCACAAGCCCATTGTCCTGCAGATTACTTAACTTTCACATTAATGATTCCAGGAGAACATGATAAAGCAAATACAGTTTGGAACAAGATATCTAAATCGGTGGTGAAGATTAGTCTCCTTATTTAGCTATTCACATTCAGGATCTGTGGACCAAAGTTGCACATTTTAAAAAACACATAAACATCATTATACCTGCGAAATAGCAGCATAACGTGCAAGTCCCCATGCAGCTTCCTTAACAGCCAGAGCAGAAGGACCACAAGGAATGCTAACAACTGTTCTCCTGAATATGTTATATAGCCATGAGAGTGAATTGTATGGCATAGCATATGTAACTCAGGCAGTAAAATGGAACAAGAAAATGATAAACAAATTATTTGGATAAAGAAACCAGAGGTTTCATGTCAAATTTATAAAAGTATAAGTCAGCACAATAAAAATGACCAACCACTTAGCAAAGCGAGCACCCTGCTTGTAGTATTCAGCAGATCTTGATGCTAGTCCATCCAAGCCTTGGCACCAAGATTCATTGTTTGATCCTGGCAGTGGAACCAAACCCTGAAACAGCCAAAAAATGGTAGAAATTTGAATTAAAAAATGCATCAACAACCACACTAACCTCACTTGATAACTATATCAATTTTCCTAAATATATAAAAGAAGAAAGAAACTAGCAGAGGCCACGTATGCTATGCCTTATCAACTTTGATGCCAGGAACAATTTGCTCATTACGCAAGCAATCTACAAATTTTTTCCCATCAGTTGTTGACTGGTAAAGTGTTTCCTCAAACAGAATGGCACCAGAGATATATTCACCAAGGCCAGGAGTTGTGAGTAAAAGTTGCCTGTATGCCTGGCGATTAACCTCAGTATTTTCTAAGCCAATAGATGCCAACCTCTTCCCACAGGTAGCATTGGATTCATCAATGGCAAGGATACCACGACCAGGTGAGGCAATAGATTTCTGCACCATCAATAAATCAGCCATAAGCAACTTAGTACCTCCTAGCAACAAACAACAACCATTCTGCAGATTAACTTTACTCAACAAAAGAAGGGCCTTAAGGCAGTTGCAATTATTGCACTTTTTTTATATTAATTGGTATTGAAAAATATAAAAAGTTATCTAACATCTCCAACTTGAAATCTCAGTCTCACCAGTTGAGCAAAGAAGGGGCACTAAATAGTTAATTAAATAAAAAGATAAAGTAATAAAAA